GATTTGAAATCCCATCAAACCAATATAAAACAAGAGGAAACTTTATTTAAAAATAAACAATTGAAAACAATAGTCAGATGAATAGATTAAAGTGGCAAAATGTCATTTTTACCCACCAGATTGGCAAAAATTCCAAAGGACAACAATGTCCAACAATCTCAATTTGAGAATCTACCGTATATCAATAAAGACACCAACATTTTAGGATACATGCAGAAGGCTGTTTATTGTGGCATAGCTTACAGTGACAGAAGAAGTTGGAATAAGGCAATGGCTGAATGAAATATGTAGCTACTGAGAAGTATGGGTTAGACATGTATATTGACTTGGCGGGATGTCCATAATATTTTATTAGATGGAAAAGAACAAACTGCAAAGTAATATGTATAATATAATTTGATATTTATTTTTAAAAAGAAAGGCATAAAATCTCTTATACATTTATATGTGTAATACATATGATTTATACTATATACAAACACATTCTAAATATAAATGTATATATAAATAGACACTCATTATTTATTTTAGAAGCATGAGATTTTGAGAGGAATTGAAAAGAGACAAAAGAATGAAAAAGAAAGAAAGAAAGAGAAAGAAAGAGAAAGAAAGGAGAAAGAGAGAGGAAATTGATTACTTATTAAAGATTAAATTTCTTCCTAAATCTTTGAGTAAGACTCCAGCCCGTTGTTTCTGTGTCTTTGTGTACTCCCGGCACACCACAGCCTGCCCCAGGGGTCAGTGTAAACCAATTTGGGAAGCACAGTGTGTTATAACAGTATAAAATTAAGCAGATGTTGCCCTAGGGGCTCAGGAAGCTCCGTATCAAATCACACACAGGCAGTAAGTGTCTTGCAGCCCTCTCGCCTGGTCAGCCCAAGCTGGTGTCTTGTATTTGTATGTAAAGCCACACAGAGGGACAATGACAAAATGGAGCACCCTCAGGGCAAGCATGAGCAGAGTGAAGTATCTGGTAACCTCAGTCAATGAGAAGAGGGCAGAGGACCTGTACAAGGAAATAACATTAATGTCGATGTGGAATATTTGCTTTCAAATGTTTGAAGGGCTGTCCTGTAGAGGAGGAGACAACTTAACATATAGCACCTTAGAAATAAGATAGAAGACAGAGAAGGAATGATAAAGAGGCAGATTTCAGCTCAGTGTAAGCAAAACCTTGTTAAATCAGATTCCCTTGACTCCCAATTTTCTCTTGTATAAAACGAGAATAATGCCACAAAGTCTTATCAGAGACGTAGAGATTCAGTGAGGATTAAACGGGCAAAGCGCAAGGCAGCAACGTGTAACCTGGAAAGCAGTGGTCCTCAACTTTGGCTGCACATTAAAATTACGTGGAGAGTTGAAAAAATCCTGAGGCTCTAACTGGCTGCACCCCAGATTAATTCCATCATAACTTCTTGAGGTGGGACTCAGGCATTGGTAATTTTTAAAGCTCTTCTCACTGTATAGTTCCATTAAGAACCACTGATCTCAATTAATTATAGTTGGATTCCAGGTGGTTGTGGAAAAAGTAGGTTTGACCTGAGGAAGATCTGGGGGGCAATGAAAAAAAAAATGCCCATTCATCTAAGAATTGGAGCAAAAGGTTAGAGCTGAGCAATTCTGGAGTGAAATGTAGATTGCAGAGCCAGTCAGCAGCATGGTCAACAGTGAAGACAGTTTCAGTGATATTTGCCTCCTTAGAGGCCTATAATAAGCAACTCAGGAGAGGCTGGCCTCGCCTCTTTTCCCAAAAAGGTCCTAGATGGGCAGATAAGGGAAATACGACGGATAGAGTGAATGTTCAGGAGGTCCCCCAAAACACTTGAGAATCTTCTATATCAGCTCTGGGCTGATTTTACTGGAGATGATTTTATTATCCATGATTTTTTTCCTGAACCTGTAATTGACTGAATATACCCATTAAATAACTAGAGTCTGGAGAGTGATTCCTAATTACAGGCCACAGGGTTTTGCTCTTGTCCATTTCTAGCTAATTCCAGTTATATTAGTGATGGTAAAGCTGTCATGCTGGTGGTACTGAGCCCTACGACGGTGGAGGTGGAGACACATAACAAGGATATTAGAGCAGGGGAGAGGTGGTAGGCTAAGCATAAAGAGACAGGTAAAGCTTTTTACTTTTCCCCTTCCCCCTTCCTGATGCTCCCCACCTCCAAGAAAAGAAATCAAACTTAAAACCGCAAACCTGACTGCCTAAGTCCACAACGGGAAAAACAATGATTAAACAGAAGCATTGCCAGAAAGATGATGAATTCTCTATGAATCAACCAAGTGACTCAGCCGCTAACTAAGAGCTAATCTAGAGTGTTTGGGTGAGGGACAGGTGGTCCTGCCCTGTTCTGTGGTCAGTTCTCTCTGGTATTGGCAGGCCCAGGTCTGGGCCCAGGACTTCAGGAGAGGCAAAGTCCAGAAAGCCAAAGGGCGCGTGACCTCGGGGCAGGCAGCCACAAGCCTGGGGTCAGTGGGAGAAGCCAACTAGCTGCCTTCAAATGTCTGAAGGGCTAGCAGGGAGAGGTGATTTGGATTTTCTGTGTGGTTCAGAAGACAGAAGAGGGCTTGGAGTGAGCCCAGGCAGGAGCCAAACTCTGACGCAACAAAAGAAGAACCTAACTATAAACAGCTTTACTAGACAAATTGCTTGCACAGAGGTAGTGAACTCCCAGTTCCTAGGGGTATGCAAACAAAGGCAGGATGACCGCCTGGTGCGGATGTTGGTTGGGGGAGGAGAGGTTAAGATTCAAGTTTTGTGAGAGGGCTGAACCAGTTGACCTCTATGATCTACTTAGAATATTCTCAACCTAGTGATGTATTTACGGTGCTTTCAAAATTTGCATGTTTCCTCTTAAAGTTAAATCTTCTGAGCCTCGTTTGCTTAGTAGCTGGAGTAATCAAGTCATCCTTCCCAGGGGACCACAGTCTTGGCTGTGAATCATGTTATTTTCTCCTAGTCCCTTCTTCCCTCCTCCCTTTCCCTGCTTCAGCTGACTAAGGCAGATCTGCTTGCCTGTCTTCCAAAGTTTGATTTTTAAAAATATAATTATCACGGGTTTATGCCTCCTATGCCGGATGCTGGGGGAGCCATAGAACAGAAAAGTTACAAGAAGCGTGCTCAAAAACAATTCTTCTGACTTCAGGCATTGATATGCTACGGAGGAGGCAGTTTTCATAGAAAATGTAGCTGTTACTGATAATTAGACTTTTTTTTTTTTTTTTAAAGGAAAAAAAAAGCACTGTTTTTGTTTTGTTTTGTTTTGTTTTCGGTGGTGGATAAATAATACTAAAAGGAGTCTAGTGAAAGGAGAGAAACAAAGAG